GCGAAACCTGGGTATGCCAGAAGAAGCATAAAAGTAAGTTGAATGCAGTGGAGATGCGATCTCTTCGTAAAATGTGCGGCGTTACCTTGGCCGACCGAAAGCGAAACGAAGAGATTCGCAATATGGCAGGTTTGAAAGATGACCTTATCACAAAAATTGATAAGGGCGTGCTTCGGTGGTTTGGGCACGTTGAGCGAATGAGTGAAGACCGAATGGTGAAGAAAATATATAGCGCGAAAGTTAATATTAAAAGGTGTCGAGGTAGACCGAGACTAACTTTCGAAGACCATGTGAGCAAATTGCTCGAAGAGGGTAGGGTCAAGAGTACTCGGATACCTAGACGTGCATGCATGAAGAAGATAATGAATCTGAAAGAAGCGAAAGAGGTTTGTAAGGATCGTGACACTTGGCGATCTGTTCTCTCTGGCTACCCCATCAGGGATTGTGCGTGAAGATAAATAAAATAAAAATTATAAGATCCATTCTTAAACTGGTTATGTACATTTCTTTTATAAACCTGAGTGACAAACGAACTATGACAGTTCACCTGATGGTGAGTGGTTGTGATGAAGCATCAGCCCATGGACACCTACAGTCAATTTTAAACAAAAGAAAGATACAGATGCGTTATCACCTCTGACGACTAAGATGCAATGCGTCGTCACAGCTAATCACAGCTTGTAATTACACTGGCTCTATATATCTGTATATGTTCTATATAACAGTGCAAGCACTGGTGTATGGCGGCAGAAATAGGTAAGATAGTTTAAAATTAAAAATTTTATACAACCGACTTCAATATAAATTATTAAGAATAAATCAAAAACTATTCGTCAGACTTTGATCAAATTTATATGGGACCACATGTGAAGCACCAGCTTTCAAATAAAAAAAGAATTATCGAAATCGGTTCACTCAGTAAAAAAAAAACATACATTCGAATTGAGTACCGGCTCCTTTTTGAAGTCTGTAGAAAAGGAGTCCTGCCACCTAGTATATACTGATTGAATAATAGCACATTTATATATATATATATATATATATATATATATATATATATATATATAGATATACTTAATTTTAGAATAAAAACATCACTATAATATTGTTGTTGTTATTATTTGCTATGCTTGCTATTAGTTGTTAATGTTGCTGTATTATTTTTCAAATAGTAGCCAAATTTTAAACTTAAGTTTAAATATATAAATAAATATTATATACCCTTATTGCAGTATTTGAAAATACGAGTAAATAAGGCTTCTACTTTTATTTGAAATTATCCCAAATTGAATGTGATTTATGAGCAACAATGTTTTTGCCTACCGATCGACAAAAAGTACAAAAATGTTTGAGATCCTTTTTAATTAATTTTTCTTCACCATTTGTCTATATTGCTTATTCTGAAATCTTACTTCTTAGACGACTATTACGTATCATACTATGTATATAATCATTGATATATGATTTGAAATACTGAACTAGAAAATAAAGAACTATGAAATAGAGGTTACATTACTTGTAGGGTAGTTGATACTTACGTCAATGAAAAAAGTACAATTTTTTCACTTGTTTTTATATATTTAAGTACATAGTAAAAATGCTATTGGTTTTAAAACTGAAAACCGAACAATATTTGAGACAGTATTAATCGTAAAATTAAGTAATGACGGTGTCAACTGTCAACTACTCGTGCTCTGCAAAAGACATGTGCCTCTAATCCGTGACCAATGTCAAGAATGAAGTTAACGCCCGCGATGAATAAATCGTGTAAATGTGCGCTTGCGCAACTGATCAATATTCTAATCGCAGGAATGGGGTTACCATGAAATAAATTGAATCAGGACATAAGTTTACATATACAATATATTTATAATACTAAGATTAATACAAATTAAACGTAAGTCTGAATAAATTTTCAGAAACAAAATCTTTTGTTGCATTTGAACCGTATTAGATAAAGTAGTCATACATAAAGTAGCAGGATATATTATAGTTATAGGTATATTGTGACAAGTTTTACAGTATATAAAGTCCTCTGCTGAACCTAGGACTTTCCGTAGATCGCCTAATTGCCATAATTGCCACGCTTACCGGGTGGGTTGGCAATCGGAATTTTATATTTTTTGGACGTTATTAGGAAAACGTTGCTGCCTATTTTTTGGTAGATTTCCCTCTCTCTCGCATCCTATGACACTCAGTGTAGTGGATATTCTTACATCGATATTGAATCGTCCAATGACAGCTCATTTGAAGTTATTTATTGAAAAAAAACATTAAGTATAAGAGAACAAATGCAAAGGTTCATAACCCCTAACCTAAGTATGCGGTAGATATTTACAGGCTGGAGAGAAGAAGGAAAAGTCCTCCACAGTGGTTGAATAAGGCCACCCTACAAAAGCAGTTTCAATGTAACGATTCGTGATCGAAACGATTTGCAGCATGAATTTACACACACGTGGCTTTCAAGGTCTTCGGGGGAGTTACCGTTGCTTTATTACGATACGACATGTAATTTCGCACGATAATTTTTACTCTGTGTTACACAGAGTGTGTATCTACACAGTGTGTATTCTTTAATATTCTGAAAATGTTCAAGTTCCCAAAAAAGACAACAGTACTTTCACTGGTGTTTTTTCTTTACCCTTTCGTTTTCGTGTCTTGTGTTTTTCTACCGCCTTCAAAAAGGAGGAGGTACTCATTTCGACTGTATTTTCTTTTTTTTTTATGTGTGTTTACATCATAATTTTTTTCGTCGATGCATTCGATGACGATGATGACTTCTATGATTCTCTTTTTATATGAAAGCTGATGCTTCTGATGTGGTCCCATATAAATTAGATCAAGGTTTGACCAATAGTTTTTGAGTTATCCTTAATAATATATATTGAATTCGGTTGTACAAAATTTATAATTTTAAATTATTCCAACTCCTAAAGTTCGAATTTCAATTTATTTTTTCTTTAAATGAAGTTAAAAGCTTGAAGTTAAATGAAAGAAGAAAGAAGGCTACCGTAGTTCACTTTAAATTTCATACTACGAGCGCAACCTGAGTTCAATTTCCGGTGCCGACAGTGATCAGTGAGAAACTTTTGATTGCAAAGTTGAGTTCATCGTGTGAATTAATAGTACGAGTACCTATATTATGAAGAAAGCTTAATTGTTAGTATTAAAAAATGGACTGTATAAAAACTACTTACAACAGTGATCGCAACTTTTCTATAAGCGGTAAATTCAAAAAGTAATTTAACAAGCATATTTATTTTTATTTTTTTTATTTTACTTTATGACACGAGATAATGTTCATTTGAAGAAGTTAATGTGAATAATGAAAATCAGTCAATAGAAGTCAAAATTATTTTAACACGCCTTAATTAATTAGTTTTTTTCTCTTTTTGTCAATTAAGTACAAATATTGCAATCGATTTTAAACCAAATTCCGGACGAGTTAGAGACTTGAAAGTTTTGAAATAGCCCAGAACTGGATGTAAATCCTATTATAAACTGTACACGCCCTGAGCTGCCCCAACAAAGGTAGACTGGACTAGGGCCTATGAATAGCCCAATCGACGGGCAGCAGAGGACGGGGCCCAACGGCCTATGGAGACTTATCATTCTACACAATAGATATAAGGCTAGGTAAATAAATAGTACGTACCTGGTTCCGAAGCTAAGACCGCCCCAAGGCTCGGTCAGGCCGTAGGTAGGTGTAGGTGCATGTAAGTGATGTGTAGTAGTGTTTATTTATGTGACCTGACACAGCTGAGGTGACCGGGCAGCTGCCTGGTCCGATGGTGCCCCACCATTTCACTATTTCGAACAGTGGTAGAGCCACGCGGCAGATTTTCCTGTCGCACGGATAGGCCGGCTCGAACCGGGGTGTACCACGACCTCACAGAAAACCAGCGTGAAGTAGAGGTTTACCTGTGCGTTTCGCTTGGTGAGTGCAGGTGGCCGGAGGCCCTTTTTACTGGAAATGAGGCATTCCATCTTAGTCCTCACGGGTGACAACGCATCTACATTTTGATTTGTAATAGAGGATAGATGTAGATGTCTATGGGCCGCGGCAGCCACTTACCATCAGGTGGACTGTGTGCTCGTTTGTCACCCTTATCCTATAAAAAAAAATTCAGTCTATCAACTTTATTGTACATTTAACTAACTTCAAACTCAACTAAATCCCCGTTAATCGTAATCAAAAAAGTAACACACGGCACGACCAATAAACGGTGGATGAAAGTTCACTTCCGTTTCACGTAGCAACAAGATTATAACCACGAACAAGAACGCGATCTCTTCTCGAGTCACAAAGTTCAGCGTTACAACCGACAAACTAAATTCCTTCGGACGATATTAAATACTACGCCCGCATTAAGACTCAAAATCAGCCTAGCTGACACGCAAACTAACTACATACAACTTCCAAACAATTAATCGACCCGGCGTCTATTTTTCTAAACTCAAGAAATTCCTCGTCGTTGCATAAATTTGCTAACAAAACCGACACTAATTAGAGGTTATACGGGACGACCACGCCGTTCTCTTCTCACGATCGTACAACTTAGACAAACTCATCCGAGGCGGTGTTTACGAAACCACAAATTCAATAGCGAATTAAACGCGCACAAATACTAAAAATCTAGACCAACAAAACCAAAACTGGGCGCGCAGAATCGCTGCAGCGGTCACCACAAAATACGTTAATCGACCGCGCCGCTGCTCTCAAGCTACTGGTCTCGCCCACGAGCGCCGAACGCCGGAAAGCTGCATACCGCTGCCGAATGCACACCATCGGGCGATTCACTTGGTCAAACGCGATTGGATGGCGTTTCAAATGACCATGTTTGGGCCTAAACATAAACTATTATTATAACTATTACATATATTAATTACAATAAATTTTAAACTATCTTCCCGATAGCTGAAACTTGAAACATTGCCATTTTGAATTATAATTAGTAAGAAGGAATTAAAACAAATTTTGATTGGATACTATTTTCCAGATGACGAGGAGGAGTGCGGTGCGATGTCGGAAGGTTCGGAGACGTCGGAGTGCGGGCGCGCCGACACCGACGACGAAGGAATCGAGCGGGACGCCGAGCCGGCACCGCGACGACGGCGACAGCGCAGGCGCTTCATGCTTAAGGACGTTGTGGAGGTGAGAACTGATAAACTGAACAAAGTCAAAATATTACTTAGATCTTCTACGTAGATCGGACCAAAAATAAATATTCAAAAACTGAAGGTAGCCGGGCTAACTATGACATCAGGACGTCAAATACCTCGGTCCCCCCCCCCCCCCCGTGACCATGGGTGTAGGAAAGAACCCGAAACGTCGGGAATTAAATTAAACGCGAAAAAATCCGTAATAATTAGTTTCATTTAATTGTATATGTTGTATTTTATCTAACATTTAACTGATGAACGATTAGCCCTTAGAAGCAAATCGATTTAGTTATGTCCAGAGTATAATTTTTCACTCGGTAGAGCCATGATGCAGCTGTGTTTTAGTTGTGGCACCACTCTGTCGGTTCGACCGGGGAAGAACCACGCTCTCCTAAAATACTAGCATAGAATAGCAGCTTAATTGGCATAATTAATGGAGTACTTTTATCTGTCAGCATATTATGTATGATGTAGAGCGAAGTTAAGTTTTATCCACTTTCCCTCCCCCTCCCGGTTGAGCAGATCTCGCAGTTTTCACCGGGCGGCTAGGGTTTATGTGTCGTTCGCGCGCCCAGCCAAGTATTATATTAATTTTACATTATCTCTTAAACTATGCGTCCAAATAACATGGTATAAAGAACAAAGTTTATCGTCATAAAATTGTCTTGATGATGAAGTAACTTTCGTTCGTAAGGATAAATAGGCCATGCCTAATAATAACGCTCATAAATCACTTTTAAATTTTCAATATTTTTTGTCACAAAATACCTAATTATGGCTTATGTATAAGAAATAGACATATGGTATCGCGGACTTTTTTTTAGAAGGAGTCTAGATCTATATTTTTCTAGAACATTGTATTTACGTATCCCTAACGATAACACCAGCTTACGCGGATAAATCATTTCGGGAGTGCTTTTTCTTCTGACTTGCTTAACAAATATCTATATTTAAGGCTAGCTGAGTGATATAGCTTAATTCTAGATAGCCTATACTATTCCACATGAATCTGGCTATAATATAGTAAAAGAATTTTTCAAATCGGACTGGTAGTTCCAGAGATTAGCGCGTTTAAACAAACAAAAAAACAAAACTCTTCCGCTTTATTACATTAAAAGAATATATATATATATATATATATATAATAATTAGGTATTATTAAATATCTTTTAATTTATCTATATATATGATATTTTATAGGAGTCACGCAAACCAAACGCCCACGGCCACGCCCCACGTTTGAACTAGGACTGTTGATAAAATATCGATATATCGAAAAATCTATTTTATTATTTAGAAATATCGATATTTATTTCTAATTTTTTTCACGACATATATTGAAATATAAGATTGATATTGAAATATAGATATACGACAGTCGATATGTATATTTTTTTAAATAATTTATTTTTTTATTTTTTCACGTAAATCATTTAGTCTACAACACCATCGTAAACTTAAATCCTAATTTTTGACGGACCCAATCTACAATACTTTATTTACACTATATTATGTTTTTCATTTTACCCCAGTTCATTTATTTGCTTATTATCTTAAAAAGAAATGTAATTTTGTAAAGTATGTCTCTGTGATATTAAAATCACTATAATTTATGAAACTTAGTACTACTTTACTTACTGTTAGTTTTGGCAGGAGCTTGACCATTGACGGATGGTTGCTCCTGTTTTATCGTTTATATACCTAATAGTTTGAAGTGGATTTTTATCAAAGTGATGCGATTATGTGTATTAAGTGTCTGCACATGTCAGCTATTAGAGAAAACGACGAAATAAGCTTCGATGTTGGTATAAGCCTCAAGTTATTTTCATCGCTTAGGCGTCTTATGATTTACTTCCGTGCTATCAGAAATAGCTGTTAAATACTTGATTTCTTCAGCTGCATCCAAAGCATCTGAACGAATTACTTCTACAATCAAATTTTTAGTGCCAATAATTGGAGTATTGAAACAGCTGAACATATAAAACAACGAGTATTTTTGAAAACTCTTACTGACAAATATTGGTAAACATAATTGTCTTATTTAAATTAAACAATAATTCGAGTTAAAGTTACAGCCTATATACGTCCTAATGCTGGGCACTCCTCAGCTGGGCAGGCCTCTCTTAACTTCTGAGAGGGTTTTAGGGCAACGTCCGCCACGCTGCCCCAATGCGTGTTGGCGAACTTCACGTTTTCTGAAATTTTTATTTTATTTCTCAGACATGCAGGTTTCCTCACGATGTTTTCCTTCATCGCCGAGCACGTGGTAAATCAGCACTTAAAATTGCAATTAACAATTTCATTGGTGCCGGCAGGGATCGAACCCGGGTTGCTCGCGTACTGTGAAATTTACAGCGAGCGCTAACCATCTGAGCTACCATGACTCTTTAATAATTAGGTTATAGTTCTTAGTAAAATAATTACTAAGAACTACAACCTAACATTTTCATACATTTATAATTTAATTTGTTTAATAAATATACTAAATTATAAACTGTGTGAATCATTCTTAAGCAATAAGCATCAATATATCGCTTATGTTTCCCATATATAAAACTCCGATATTGATATATTTATAATTATCGATATATTGAAAATCCGATATTTTAAAAATATCAACAGCCCTAGTTTGAACTGATCAGTTGGAATTATCAGTTGAACTGACCGTGTGTGTCGAAATTTTTTTGAATTAAATCCGTTTGAAATGATCAGTTGAACTGATGTCAGTTTAACTGACCGTGAGTGGGGACAAGTATGGTGTGTGTAGAGAACCGGAGACCCTTTTTACTGGAAACGAGACATTCTATCGCACTCCTCAGGGGTGACAACACATTTACAATTCTTAGTCATAGACAGATGGAGATGTCTATGGGCCGCAGTACCTTCATACCATCAGGTGGACTATGTGCCTGTTTGTCACCCTTGTAATATAAAAAAAATCAAAATTGTACATATTACAACAGGCGACTCCACGTCCATATAAACCAACTTTAAAGTAGCTCTCAGTGTGAGGTTGCATTGCGTCACGTTACTAAGGCATCATGACATCTACTTTCACCAATTAGGAGCTGGTGACCGCCGCGGGCTTTATGGGCCACTGATGGACTTGTTAAGTGAATCTATGTTATTATGTGTATTTTAATTTTACGATAGGGGATTAGTAGAGTGCATTTCCATGCACTTTATTCTGTGCTGCTACATAATTTATGCTTGCCTCAGAGTCGGACAACACACGTTACGCAATGTTGCGTTTGGAATTATTAGGCGACGATCATGTGCGCCATATTTGTTTCGAAACTAATTTGTTTTAATTTAAAAAGAAAGTTTGAACGTAGCAACTCTGTTTCATGGTGGCTTTTAGTTTTTTTTTTAAATTTCTCTTAAAAACAATATGGACGTTAAATCGGGCTGTGCCTAGGGCGCCATTTAACTTAAATTCTCTACTTTTATGAGAATTAGGCGTGAATATCGACTAAGAGAAATCCTCGATAAATCTTGTCTCATCTGTGCGAGTCATCGAAACTAGCTTGATTAAAAATATTTGACAGTTCCATTGTGGAGGGACGTATTATTAGTGGACCCGCTTTATCGTTTCCAAGTTAGCAGTGATGTATGGGCGGCAGTGGAGACTACTGGTCGATGATAGATGATAATAATGTGCTAGTTCGTTTTGGTTTTGAGGAAAGGAAGGGTATGCCGCGATGCCACGATATGTGTTGGCGAACAGTCAAGTGCGAACTGTTTTACGAAATATTTTTTTACTTTTAATACACAGAAATTTCTGCACGTTGTTTTTCTTTACCGCTGATCACGTGATAGCTTGGCTTTTAATACTCCTAGCAGCATAAGTTCATTTTATAATTAGTAATTTACTTCACAAGCAACCTGACTTTGGAATTCGTTATCACTTAACGACCAGCAAGCGCAATCAAACAATTTTAAAAACAACTTAAGGAGTATTATTTGAATTTCCCGCCATAATAATAAATTATATGTTGTATTTCCGCTCTTCATTAACACTTGTTTTTTCGTTTAATTTTCTCTACATATAGTATAAGTGTGTTTGTATGTATATGTATCTACATATGTATACAATACATACGTATTATTTATTTATATATGTTCATTAAATACTATATTATTTTATATTTTATTTATATAAATGTTATCAAATGGTCTCCACAGTTTATTTTATATTGCACGTTGCACCTATACGTCAAAATATAAAATTACAATGTCCTTTTACGCTCGGTTTGTCGGGTAGAAATCGTTAAAAGCGATATGACCGCCGTTTGTAGATCAAAGTCATCGCGCCAACTTCCAGAAAGTGCAGAAGAACTTCTGAGAAGCAGTGAATTACATAATATTCATTTGCCTTCTGTTTGTGTACCGACAACAGTTAATAAATATGTAATTGGTTATTATTAGACATGTTCACAGGACACTAATCATATTAAAAACCTGTTAGTTATTTTATAAGCAATGCAATACATCAGCATTAACAAATTTCGATCGTTTTCTTTTAAGGCGATGAAAGTGAGTCGCAGGTATGCAAATTGGCGATAAATTGCGTGGTTGTTGATTCGAATGGACGCCATATCTTCCAGGAATGGCCAGCTCACTTGAGTTTATCATCGGCGAATCTTGAATAGCGATTAATATGTTTATTTCGATTGCCTTTCACTTGTTATTGTTAATTTTTCTAGTAATTGACCACAAATATTTCCCAATTTTGTGTGGTCCGGCGAAACTATTTCGTAATAAATTACTTTTTATTTTACTTTGTGAGATTTCAATTTCAATAAACCATTATCACTTTTACTTACCTAAAAAGTGGACAGACAATTGAAGTACCCAAAGATAATATAGTCAGACGCTTAGCACTTATTTATATCTAGGTAAAGAAAAAACAATGTAGAAACAAACAGGAAAACAGGTTAGAAAAGTAAAGTAACCGACCAACATACAAGACGTATATTGCTGAATCGCCTG